CTCAACCGTGAAGCCTGGTATAAGGTAAGTGGGTCTTTAGTTGGTTAATTCTTTCGTTTTAAAGCTTGTTTTGATTCTTGGGATATTAAGAAAGATTAAGGAAAGCTTTAGGTGGCTTAAACCTCAAAGATTAACAAGTTATGAGAAATTAAGAAAAATGAGTTTTTAAGTGAATTTTTTATATGGAAGGAGATAATAGATTGTGAAGTTGAATTGACTTGTCAAGGGTTAAATTAAGATATGAAGTGATAGAATGGGTTTTAGAACATGTTGGAAATTTAGTGTGATTCTTGAATGCCATGTAAATGATAGAATTTTGAGTTTAAAGAAGTGATTATGGAGTAGAAATGAGTTTAAGTATGTGTATGAAAGTTAGGAATATTAAAGGGAATGAAGTATGATGTGTTGAGCTGAAAATGAAGGATTTTCGAGCTCAAAATATGATTTCTGGGCAAGGGGAATCGGTACCCATTCAAGGGGAACCTATACCCCTTCAAACGAACAAGAATTTCCAGTATGTCATGGGGGAACCGATACCCCATAGGGGGGAACCGATTCCCCTAAAGGAAAATTGGGAATATGGGTTTAATAAGTTCGTTTAAGTTGCTAGTATCAAATTACAAGGTGTAGGCATCTAATAATTGCCTTAAAATGTATAATTATGTAGATTCAGAGCTTAAACGAGTTCCGGAACCATTGACAAGTAAGATCGATCAAGAGGAAAGATAAGAGATTGGAATTGACTAGTGAGGCCAGGTGAGTGCATATTCAATAGTATACGATGTGCGATGGGAATAAGACTTGCGATGAGTCTATTCCTAAAGTGTTACACATGAATCATGATTAAAGGCATGAGTGGAATATGCATGTATATGTTTGATTATGGATTGATCTGTTCTTTTATGTGTTATGATAAAGTATAAGTAATTACATAAGAAATGTTATGAATTATATGAGATATAAACTATGTGATCATAGTAAATATAATTATATTATAGGATAAGTGAAATAAGCTGGATAATATTGATCTATAGGATGAAGTGAGAATAGTACACTAACTAGGAGATTTGAACATAAATGATAAGATGAACATATAAGATAAGCTAGATGGGAAAGATTCATATGTTTAAATAAAACTATAACACATGGGTTATGATAGAAATTTATGAAGCTATATGAGAAGATTATAGGAGTTATATGAAATTGAATTAAGTAAACAGATTAGATTATATATATATAGAAATAATAGAAGAGATGTGTTTATAAGTCTGCCCTAGATGAATATGAATAGGAATTATAAGAGTGCTATATGATTTATATTAGGATAAATCTTGAGGATATATATATATATAGATAGAAATGAAATGAAATGAGTTATATGATACATAATTGATGAAATGGTGGATTACCTGAACATGTGAATATATATATATCTAAGAGAAGGCTTAAGATTAAGATATAAGCAATGTGACTATAAGTATATGTGCTCTAAGTGATATGACTATAGGTATTTCTATATATTACATATATGTTATGTATGTTAAATGAATTATGTGATGGTATAAGAAATGATATGAAATATATATATGTGAAAACAAGTATTGTTATGAGATAAGACTTATGACTATAAGCTACGTGAAAGTTCTAGGTGTTTCGATATATTATATGAATATGATCTTATGTGAACAAGATGATAAGTATGTTACATGAATAAAGGTGATTGGGTGAGAAATGATAGAATTATATGAAAATATGACATATGTGACATGTGAATTATATGGAAATGATCTACGTGTAAGTGAACTACGTGACTATGTGATCATATGAAAAGAAGCTATGTGATACGTGATATGTGAAAGTGAATTACAAGTTTATGTGAATATTTGAAATGAAATAAATGATAACGCCCATGTTATGTGTCATGAGAGCTAGGGGTATAGTTGGCATGCCAAGAGTCGAGGGTCTACGCGGTCCTTCGGGACATATGTATATCTTTGGAACATGTGTGAAGTCTGGAAAGACACATACTTGATCCCTAGTATATGTATATGATTCTTAAGGAATTCTATGTGGTCCTTATGGACATCATTATATGGCACTACGGTGCAATTCTACGCGGTCCTTCGGGACATATGTATATTCTTTGGAACATGTGTGAAGTCTGGAAAGACATACTTGATCCTATATGTATATGATTCTTAAGGAATTCTATGTGGTCCTTACATCATTATATGGCACTACGGTGCAATTCTACGCGGTCCTTCGGGACATATGTATTTTTGGAACATGTGTGAAGTCTGGAAAGACACATACTGATCCCTAGTATATGTATATGATTCTTAAGGAATTCTATGTGGTCCTTATGGACATCATTATATGGCACTACGGTGCAATTCTACGCGGCACTTCGGTGCAATTATACGAGCTGTGGTGACAGCATTAGTGCACAACCTCTATAGACTCACATATCGATAGTTCTCACATATGTACATGGGCTAATCCAGAGATGAACAAATAAGTTAGTGGTATGATAAATGCTATAGAAATGATATGTTTTGTGTGTATAGTGTTTGATTGAAAAAGTATGTGATTATATGATAAACTGTTAATGATGAATTATGTGTATGTATGTATTTACTGCAATTAATCTGATATGATTTTATACGATATGAAAAATGCATGGAATTGCTATAACATGATAGAACAGAACATGCATGTATCAATATATGTTTTAAAGTGCATTATAAGTTGTTATGCCTCACTAAGTCTTCGACTTAGCGTGTGATTGTTTCACACGTAGGTTTCGAGAAGAGTAAGGAGTGATGCGGAGCAAGACAGGTCAGTTTTCCTTACCAAAAGATCAGATCAGAAATATTTGACAAAGTATGTATTGGTTATGTATAAAGTTGCCATGTAATAAGTCATTAAGTACGAGCACTCTGATAAAGTCTTATTTTGATTTAAATAAAGTTTTAAATTTCCCGGTATTTTTCTTAAGAGTCAAGGTTTGAAAAGTCAATGTGACACTTCGGACTCGTATCCGGGTCGGATACGGGTTGGGGGTGTTACAATGTCTTAGCCTTTAGAAGACTCGTGTGAGAGAGAATTATTTTGGAGAAATATAATCCTTTTTTGGATCTTTTTAGCTTTTGAGATTTATGTTGCAAAGAAAATTTTGTAAGGATGTTGGAAGAGTGTTTTGAAATATAACATGTTTTAGTATCTATATCGGGTTTTATGATACATGTGATATTTACATTTATAGTGGATTATTGTTCATCTCGTCTATGGAGGTAAATAAGATCGAACCATGTTAAATCTTGTCTCTTGTGCTTGTGTTATTTCATATTGATATCGTTTTGGTTATTTTTTCTGCTCTCAAATTTCTAACATATACAATATAAAAAATCTTAACCCACAAATTTGTATAGAGTGAGGAATTGGAGATTGATTTTTTTTGTGTAGATTTCTTTTGGTGTTGTAGCAATTTAGTTGTTGTTTTCTTTTTTATATAATACATACATTTTATCTATATATATATATATATTATATTTTTATAAATTATATATATTTATTTTATGATATATGGTCATGCTTATGATTATTTCTTCTAATAATGTTATTTTTTATATTCGAATTTAAATTTTTTGAAAGGTATAATATGTTTCATTATTGTACCCAACACTTGTAATTTAAAAATACTGCGAATCATCTTCCCTGAGTGGTTAAATGAATCATTGTTGTTCCTAGAGGTCACGGTTCTAGCATTAGCGATTGCACGAGGGTGATTAAACGTTCATTGTCAAATGATTGAGAGTATTTAGAATATATACTACTTAGTAGTCACCTTAGTTTAATAAAATAAAATACTACTTCTTAATAAAGTGAATTAATTAAACCGACTTATTTTTGTTGTTGTAACTGTAGTAACTGATATTGTTCACTGCTTAGCACATACGACGATCTGTTAGCTAATAGTGGGAAGATCCTTTGGCCCTAATTTGTACGGATTTTTATTCTATGCCATTCGTTGTATCTTGCCTAAGTTAGACATCAATGCCCTTTATAATATATTACCAAAATTATCCCTCTTTGAGACTGATTGTTTCTTGACGGCTCCGAACTGCAGTCCTGGCCAGCTTAAATAATAATTGAAAAAAACATAACTTTATGTATTTAGTTATTGGATAAACTACGTATTTAATTTTTGTTTCATTTTAATATTTGTCGTTAAAAATTTCATACGTTTAATGATTAGAGTTAAATTTAAACAGGATACTAAAATGAAATAAAATTAAATTTTAAGTATGATTTAAAAAAAAATTAAAAGTTTAAGTACTAAACGGATTAAAACTGATAGTTTAGGTATTAAATGAATAATTTACCTTTATTTATTTTACATAATAATTCATATTTTAAAATATAAGTTAGTGGAGTTCAAGTAATGTGCATTAGATGTAAACATGTCAATAAAATTTGATTATAATTTATAAAAAAATGGTATAAACTGACCCTGATCATTTTAATTGAAAATTGAAAATTTTTATTTGATTTAATTATTTTTTATTAAAAAACTGTTTTTATCTTTTGAAATTTTGTATTTGTTCATAGGTTTTAACAAATGTAAACTCAGACTTAGGAGAAAAGCTTGACATGTCCCACCCGACTCTATTACAACTCAATTCCATTAATGGGAAATGGTCCCTTCTCCTTTGAAATTACAGGCATCGATGGCTTAATCCAAGGAGCCGTTTACAAAGAAATTAAAAACCGTGGCTAACTCATGCTCCTCGGCTTCTTCATTGGTCCACCTTCCACAATTAAAATATTCTCTTAATCAACGCTACAACAACTTAGGGTGATCTAAACCTTTACAGCTTGAGCCACCTGTTTTTCTCATCATTATTATTATTGCAAATTCCTTGGAGCATAGTTAAACATGTCTATTAGTTTCCGTTGTCTGTTTATATGCAATTTCCATTATATTTATCGGAAGCCAACCAGCCTAGCGATACTCGCTTTCCTTAATTTGCCCTATAATTCTCCTCTTTCTCTCTTCTTTAAAGAGAACAGGCTCTCTCTTTGGTTACTAAAGCTGTGGAAATATGGGAGGTTGCGCCACCAAACCTAAGGTTTTAAAGGCTGACAACCGCAGTATCCCGGCACCGCCTCCCGAGCCGAAGAAAGAAGCTGTTGCGGAGGAGGCAGAGGAGGGCGTGGACGTCGTTGCTGAAAAAGGCGATCGAGAGGCGGAAGGCGATGTTGTTGGTGATGATGTTAAGAGCAAGGATGTTGATGAGGCTAATAAGGTTGATGATGGAACGAGCAAGCCAGAGTCTCTTGGTAACTTGTTGAATGAGGTACCACTTTCTACAATTCCATGACTATGTTGTATACGTTTTTTTCAAAGCATTTGACTGGGATGATGGGATCTTTCACTTGAATATAATTCCATACCTGTTTTGGCACTATGTTTGATGTTTCACTGAATTATTATGATTGGTTCATGTGTGCCGTTTGGTTGATGAGAAAGTGAAATTGAAGGGAGAGATTCAAAAAGAAATAATAATAATAATAATAATAATAATATAATTCCACGTATGTTTTCCTGTTGATTTTATATTAACAAATCGAGATTCGAAGCACGAGATTGACGGGGAACAAAAGAACTTTATTTTTTTTCAATGTTCTTGCCCTATGTAAACTGACCCCCGTGTCTTTTTTGCAGAATGAAAATAAGAGCGTAACCGAGACCGAGACTGATAACAACGCGCCGTCGGAGCCGACTAAAACCGAACCACTGGATGCAGCGGATCAAGAATCAACGGAGGAGAAGAAGCCAACCGAGCCAATCGAGTCGACCAAGGAGCCAGAGCCTTTGTCTGTCGAACCCCAAGCGGCACCAGAGGCGACAGCAACATTGGATGGGGCTGAGCCTGAGACAGAAAAGAAAGAAACATCATCAGCTGCGGCAGTTGAAGGTGAAGAAGGGAAGACTGAAGTAGCAAAGTGAAGTTGCGACACTTGTGTTCAAACAAGTGTAATAAGTTCACATCTTGCTTCTTTTTCTGTTGGTTTAGGATGTTATAGAAATCAAGTACTTCACTTGGTTTACGGCTTTTATCATGTGACATATGTTTGTTGCTCTGAAATGATTTTTTTTTTTACATCCTAGTTTGTGCTTTTGCTTTCTATATTTTTTCCACTCATTCACAATGACATTTGTTTTTATCATGTTCAATTTATAAGCATGTATCTTAGATCTTAAGCCTATTAGGCACAACAGGTCCGAGTTTAATTTCGGACAATCCTCTCCTCTTATTATCAAATATATATGAGAACATATTTATACTAGTATTAGAATATCTAAAAAACGATATTTTAGATGGTACAAATTCAATACAAACTCTAATGAAACAACATTATCAGTTGGGAATCCATATCTATTCTCCAAAATGATTTTCATTAACATCCAAATGGTTGCCTTGAGCAATTCAAGAGGCATCATCAACCACTTTCAGCTCTGTGCAGCCTTTGTCTACATGATGTGCTGGTAAACAATTTTCATCATCCATCATTCTTTGCTCTCTGGTTTTCCCCCACAACACACTATATAGCCCTACGATCAGTAACACCCCACCTAACAGACTGCACAAATTTCACAAACGTTAATTAACAATTGAGGTGGATTCTAATAATGAGAAAATCTGACCTTCCTGTAGTTATGAACTGGCATAAGAGAACTGCTGAACAGAAGATTGTGAAGACGAGATTCAATGGTGTGGACATGGCCAAGAACACCGGCCCCTTCGCCTCGATAACCCACGCTTGTAGGTAATATGTCACGCCTGTCACCACTATCCCCTATACAAACCTACCAAATGTTTTATATACCATTGGACAACTGAAAATAGATGGTATATATAAATATATAAAGAAAAAAGGGTCGAAGTAGATGTTTACACAATAGGCTACTGCAAGGAGTCTAAGATTCCACCCCAGTCTCCATTGGTGAGGGTCTCGTTCCACACCAATAGCAATAGCAAATGATTGGAATGTGCTCAAAAGGCACTGAAGAGCTGTGAAGAGAAGCTTCGAAGGGTACTTCTTCAGAACCAGACCCTATTTCACAAACAAATTAATAGGCTTTTAAGTTTTAATCATCTATGCTAGTATAAGTACAGTTTTATCATATATTCCATGTATTTTGATTAAGGTAAATGGTCGGCTACCTGTAGAACCAACCATAAGCCCCAAAAAGTGTTGGAAAGCAACATGAGGAGACAACCCTTTATCCATGCCTCGGGCCCGGAGGATGTTCGGCTCGGAAGTGTCGGGCTGTGGTGGTGATCGAACAGGTGGAGGCAAAAGAGTTTGAAATGGGGACCCTTGTAGAAGGCAAGGGTCAATGCACCAGCCAAACATATTAGTATACCTACAAGCTTTGCAAGCCCGGCGATCGTCTTCAGTTTCAATGCCTCCATTCTGTGATGCAAATTTCAACCTTTTAGTCAATTCAATCAAATCTCATTAATAGATTAATCTAAATCGAATTTAAATTATTTACCAAAAATACACAGATTTTTTGAACTTATCAATTAAGATCTTCACGGATATTACTCAAAAAAGAGGGAAAAAAGTTATACACAAAATATTTGATGGCAACCAAAAAGAAAGAAAAAGGAAAAAGGTTAATGAAAATATGTTTAAGAAATAGACTAATATTCTACCTTAGTAATACAGCAATGAAAAAAGTGATGACGGGCAGGCAATTCGTTGTTGCAGCAGCTAGAGTTGCAGATGTATAAACCAGGGCGATGCCATTGACATCCAAGCTCAAAGTTATCCTGAAATATTTCCAAAACCCTAAACCCGAAACCCAAACCCCATGCATCTATACATGATGATAACTTCAAGTAGACTTACCCGATTAACGATAGCATAAAAATCTTGCAGAAAGTCACTAATGATAGAGGTGGCGCAGTTCTCCTTCAGTTTGGGAAGAAAATAATAATTATATTATTTCCTTTTTTTTCCAGAGAAAATCTAAGAAATTAAACACCTGGGGAAATTTATCTTACCACTCGAAGAACAAGGCGAGAGGGACCAGTAAAACGGTAGCAGCAGCTTGTCTGTAGAAAACGAAGACAAAGTTGTTCATACCACCATCGAATGCAGCCTTGGACACCAAGAACATGCCTGCATAAATGCATTGCACGAGAATTACTGCAAGATAGGGCTTCTTTTTCTCCATTTTTATTTTCTTTTTGGAACTTGAAGTGCATGCAACAATGGAAGACGGGTTTATATATAGGTTGAAGAGTGTGGGAATGGGCGATGGAAAGTAATAATGCCCATTGAAAATATGGGAAATGTAATAAGATGGTACTTTAGTTAAAATGTAAATGATTTATAAACTTTCGCTGTCCAAATCCTCGAAAGCAACGATTGCTTCTTTGTAACGAGACGTGTATGGTGAAGTTATTAGGGAATGCTTTTGGAGAAGGGACCACCAAAAGTTACTAGTCATGATTGATGGCAGCAATTGTTGTACCAAGATTGGGTTAATTTTTGTGTAGTAGGGTATGTATAATGCTTAAAAGAAATTAAAGAATGATATTAAAATTTACAGCATGATATAACATTTATATAAAAAGATTGTCTAATGTATAAAAATTTTGAATGCACGAATAAGAGGTGATTGTTATCCCTAGTGATTATGAGTTTGAAAATTAATGATAGAAGGGTATGTAATTTCATTGTCAAGTAATTAACGGTATTTAAAATATATATTACCACTTGTAGTTATCCTAGATTAATAAAAAATAAGTTGAACAAGCATATTTGACTAGTAGGTCAAGTTGCTCATATTTGTTCCCTTATATTCATTTAAACCATGGACTCTAGTCTTCCTAGGAGCATATTCAACATGTTTTTCTTAACATTGGCAATCCGTACCCTAAATTAGGTCATCCCAAATTTAATTACTCGACGTATTTTTCTTAACATTAGCAATCCGTTACCCTAAATTAAGCCAACCAACTTTATTCTGCAATAATCAATTTCAATCACATGTCCTATTTCATTTAGGAACATTGATTATGGAATAGATATGGTCTTAGCATGCACCTATGGAAATTTAAGCTGGATTTTTGGAATCATAGACTAAAGAAGAAATGGTCCATGATTGAAAAGTAATGATTTAGATATGATTATTTGTTTCTATAAATGGTCAAATTCGTATCAAAATCTTAGATACGTGAAATTGATGCGACGTTATGATTGTCCCAATCACCCTTCAAACTCGACGGACCACTCTTCCCCTTAATCATCCAATAATTTTGGTGCTTAAAACTATTTTCATAATACTTGAGGGGCATGTGGTTTGACAGATTAAGAACATCCCAGTTCCAATGATTATTTTGTGAGACAATATCGTAATTCCCTTAGATTATTCATGTAAATGGAAATGAATTGGTTTCGTAAGTCTATTTGAAGATTTTGATCAATGAAAATCTAATACTTTTCATAGGTCATGTATAGTGGAGGCGTAAAAATTTTCGGATACCATCTTTGAAGGTATAATAATTTAGAGTATTAACTAAACTATTAGTTTGGGCATGTTTTAGTATTAAATTTTAAATTTTTTTAAAATCATATTTAATGTTTAGTTTTCATCTCATTTTAATACCCATTGTTAAAAACTTAATGTGTTTAGTATTTAAATTATCAGTTTTGGTCCATTTTAGTACATAAACTTTTAATTTTTTCGAAAACATACCTAACGTTAGTTTTCGTTTCATTTTAGTGACACGCCTTTAAAAATTTAACCCGTTTAGTACCTAAACTATCAATTTTAGTTTGTTTTAGTACCTAAACTTTAAATTGTTTCAAAATCGTACGTAATGCTTAGTTTTCATTTTATTTTAGTACCCTACAACAAAATCTTAACGTGTTTAGTACCTAAATTGTCGGTTTTGATCTATTTTAGTACCTAAACTTTCAATTTTTTCAAAATTATACCTAACATCTAGTTTTTATTTCATTTTAGTACCACCACCGTTAAAAACTTAACTCGTTTAGCACCTAAACTATCAGTTTTGGTATGTTTTAGTATCTAATTTTTTTCTTTCAAAACTTAATGTTAAGTTTTGAACAAGATACTAATATGAAACAAAACTAAAGTTTTTAACGGCGTAGTACTAAAATGAAATAAAATCTAAACTTTTAGTATGATTTTGAAAAAATTGAAAGTTTACGTACTAAAACACACTAAAACTGATCGTTTAGATACTAAACGCGTAATTTACCCAATAATTTACCATGAAAGAAGTGATTCATTATGGTGAAGCCTAACATCCCTCCTCATGTTCTGGATTGGTCTATGAAGCACTAAGATTTTTATTAATTTCAAATTCAGGTTTATTAAATTTATTTTTAATGGTTTCTAATCTAAATAAAGTAAGGACTACAAATTGTTTATTTCTTTTTTATTTCACGTCTTTTAACCTCTATTGAACAAACCATCACCCACTTTGAAACATCTGTGCATATTTAAGCCTTTATGTAAATTGCTCAATAATAATGTTTGAGACAAGAGTGATTCTCACATAATGGTAATCTCATTTTAATATTCTGCATTATATGTCCTGTTTCGAACATGTTTCGAATTAGGTAAATCTCATCTCGTGGTGTTTTTCCCACCAAAAACAATATTTTTTTGTCTATTTTAATTTTTAAAATAATTTTTTGAGATAGTTTGAGCTTGATATATTAATAAAATAGCATTTAACGTTTTATTTATTTTTTTATTTTTACTCTTAATTTTTTTATTAATCTAAGAGTAATTACAAAGTAGCATCTGTTCGAAAGATTCTCAACTTATTTAGCAATGAAAGTTTAAACACCCCTGGCGTATAATGGTGTGGTATGATACTGCATTTCATCACATCATTCTTGGTAAAGATTTCACCCAATTATTTTTTAAAAAAAACTTTATACCTAATGTTATGTTTCAGTTTCATTTTGATCATCCACCGTTAAAAATTAACGATAATGTTGATGTGTCACGATGTCACCATAATGTAATATCAGTTATCAGTGAAAAAAATTTAAAAAAAATGTCAAATCAACAGTTATGTTAATTTAACAGCTGGTGATTAAAATAAAACAAAAACATAATATTATGTATGATTTTGGAAAAAATAATTAGATGATCAAAATAGAATCACACAAATAGTTGGGTGACTATATACATAGTTTACCCAT